TACCACTCTCAGATTTAAGGAATAAAAAACAGTTTTCCGTGTATTATACTGTGATAAAAACACGCGGGATGTGGGGAGAACACTAGCCTGTGTTATCCGTTTCTCRCCCCTCCAAAAAAATCGGGGATTTACACAGGCTAGGAGAACACGAGAGAAGCGTAGGAAACCACGACACGAAGCGGAGTGGTTTCCAGCTTCTCGAGTGTTCTCTCCACATCCCAAGTGTTTTTGTCAGAGTATAATACACGGAAAACTGTTTTCTATTTCTTTTATAAAATAACAAGCGCTCAAATATTCATGAGAAAGAAAAGCCGAGGAAAAAAATAATGACGCGAGCGGGTATTATGCTCTCATCAAACACGGCTTTTTGGCCAATCAGAGCGCGCGTAATATGAAAGTTATTTTATAATACGTTGTACTTCTTGAATTCGATTAAAATTTGAGACCTTTCCTTACGCACAGTCACATTCCATTAAACCACTATTTTGTCATATTTTTTTACGGGCTTTAAAAGTGCGTCGGCTGTAAATCCTGGTTCACTCGAACTGCGCAAATGGTAGCGCAAGTGCAATTGTACCAGATCACACGTTTACAATGCAAACGCAGGTGCAAACGCAATTGCAAAAAATACATTTGCGTTAACATTCATTCTTTCATGTTCTTTGGTGGTTTGAATGGAAACAACCTCTCACTGGAAAAAAATCGCGCATTTTAAAGGTTGTAAATTTGATGTAAGTGTCCAAAATGATGTAAATTTGATGTAAATCATTTTGGATACTTAYAATATACATCAACTTTGCGCGATTTTTTCCAGTGTCTGATTGCAGCGTATCCCCACCAATGTATATAATATATAAAGGATATTACATGGGCGCGCGGAGATACGGATTTTATCTTCGAGTGTTGAAAATATCTATCACGAGTAAGCGTAGCGAAATGGAGACATTAAACCTAATATCACTGCTGGTCAAAACTTGACTTGTCAATTTTCACTAAAAAAGAATCTGGTCCATTTTTCTAATTCAAAAAAACTTATACACTTTATACATGCCCTTTATTGACAGAAACCAGTCCACTCTAAACAGCCCTATCGCACAATGACGTCATATCAAAACATCCTGTTGTTTAGACTAACACCAAGGATTATRGTCACCAGGAAAGAGAAATAGAATGACAGCAAGACAAAACATGACAAACTGCACTTGAGAAACAAAGATAACTCAAAATATTCTGATTGTAAACAGAGATATCATTGATACAATATGTGAAAACTAATATACTTTTAAGAAAGGAGAGGATTTTGTACTTTAATTATTTTCAGCAAATCGTTTCCAACTGTGAGCAAGCTGTGACGTCAATATGGGATAAGAAAATTTAACCGACTGCATCCCAGCCCCAGCACTGGAGCTTTAGGTCTTTTTAAGACAAGAGGTAAGAACTTCCTGTGTTGTTTTAAAGGGTCATGACCAACCAGCATCCCTTTTGAGCCATGTTTGAACATAAAAATACTTAAAAATATAAACAGAAACTTCTTCTTTATTATCCCTTTACAATGTCTCTCAATAGTGACTAATGGATAGAAATGACCATTTTCAATACTCTGATAAATGAATGGAAAACAAAGTGCATGTAAACAAAATTATCTATTGTTTCCCATGAGACTCATGTGTGGTGAATCAAGTGATATGTTAAATGTGGGTTATCGAGGGTGGATTTTTGAGTGAAAAATCATCTAAAACATGATCATATTATATGCTATGGCTGGTCATGGCCCTGTAAAGACAACAATGGAGGCTCATTAAAACAGAACACAAATAAACAAAATAAAATTATGAATACATTTGTGGCTAGTAATTTTTATATATACAGTTATCTACACTGATAGAATAGATAGAGGTAGTGGTTTTCATTAACCTGCTATATATACTTTATCATATTACATTTGATTAGACCTTATTACTCTTTAAACCTTGAGTTATTGTCCTTAAGTTGCTCTAAATTGTCTTAAATTATACCATTATTATTTTTTCTTTGTTTTCACCTTAAATTTCCTAAAGATGCCAAAAGTTGCTTTAAATTACTGCTACTTAAGGAGTCTTTATTATAATGCATGTTTTTGTCTTGACGGTAAATCACAAGTCCATCACACTGTTTGACAGGTTAATGAACACCACTCTATACAGTTACAAAATATTAGTGGATTCAATTATCCATATATATTTGGATTGAGCCAATGTGAGTGAGTATTCCTTGACAAAACAAGGATTTTGTTGCTTTTCAATTAGTAAATATAACTCAATTACAATGGTGGATGGCCTAGACACATAGGGTGTGATGACAAAGCAGCAACACCATTTTCCCCTAGTTGTCACTGTTATCATTACTGTAGTATAATTGGAGTTTGTCATATTGTAAGGTGTCTAGTTAATGTAAGGCCACTTTCACCAATAATTGACTAAATATTGTTTTTCGTACCTTGAGTCATTTAACCTTATCTATGATTATAATATAATTTTAACATTGTCTTTTAGAGCATATGCACTTTATCCCAACAAAAACATTTAATTATGCTAATTTCTTTGTTTCCTATTGTTAGAGTGAAGTCAAAAACCTGTGAAATACATATTACACTAATACAGCATAACACGTTGTTTTCTTTTGTCTGAGCATCACACTTTTATAATCAAATTTTGTTTCACAGGTTTAATGACTTCACTTAATTGAATAATCACCATTTCATAGTAATTAGTACTATTTGTTTACAGATTAAGTGTACACTCTAATATTGTTCTCATTATTAACATTCTCTCTTTTTACAGCTGATGTTTGGTTACATTTTCACACAAAAAAACAATACAAAATTATAAATTCAATTCAACCAAAAAAAAAAAAAAAAAAATACAGAACCAAAGTTACATAATTTGATAAACTAATGAGTTAGACTCTAGTTCTAGCTAGCATGTACATTTACCCATGCAGCCTGCTTGCCACAGCAAGCATGTTGTTGTTTTATCTTACAAAGTGCAAGAACGTTGTTGTATAAAAATACAAAAAAATGTACATTAGCAAATGACAATTAAGATGAGGAATTGAAGTTCAACTTATGTGATTTTCTTTTTCAGTTTTTATTTTTATATGACAATGTTCTTGCAATTATGTGGAGAACTTAGATGATGTGTACACTTAATTTGAATTAATATCGTTAGGTTGTGAGTGACATCACTGAAGCTAAGAGCGAGGAAGATTCAGAAATTCAAATRCAATTTACCTACTTCATAGCATCAATTGTAGAGAAGGTACAATTTTAGTCAGTGCAGGCAATATTTTGACTCTAAAACACTGTTACAGTTGTAATATTTGCTTTCCCATTCTTCCTTTCAATCTTAACTTTCATGATGTAACCTTTTGGAACCCAACAAGGTTTTTCAGTTAGATGAATACACAAGATGCAGGCCTAAAACATCACCCTCTGCCGATAACACTGTAGACTTTGTTACAGACATCTGACTGAACATCCATATTGACTCAATAATCATAGGTTGGTCTCTCACATCACAGTGCATTCAAAGTACAAAGTAAAGGTAGTGAGAAACAATATTTGTATATCTACAGTCAATATTATGATTGGGCTGCTTCTACTGGCCAATGACTAAACCTAAAATGTCCCCAACACTTTTGATTTGAATTGGATACYACTATAAGATGTCTAATTACTTTCTTGTCTAGCCAGGTAGAGGCRTCTTGGTGTTTCATTCTTTGATTCAATAAACATAACTTGGCTGGAGTGTTCAGTTGAGTCTAGACAAGTTTATCCACAGTAGAACAAGTGAAGTTCAGTCTCACCTGAATTGTCACATTGTGTATGAAAAATACCAGGATTACATGAAGCTTTTGCATTCAGATATTTTCTCTATAATGTAGCCATAATGTTGCATGGGTTAATGAGGTTTATGAGCATGAGAACCAGCAGATTCTATGTTAATTGAGATTTTCCAATAGAACTGGAAATCAGTACATTTTGAGCATTTCATTCATAAGGCACTTGACCAAAGTGAGTTTGTGTATTGATGCATTGATTGATTGGTCCTCATGTTCCAGTAATGGAAACTGTACAGCCTTAGCATGATACTATCATGATGTTAGCCCTACTAGTTCTCAGTAGGTGTATCCATGTTCATTACAACAATCTTGTCTAAAGACTTTTTGACACGTAGMGCTGTCAGTCTTGCTGATGGATGATGTGACCAGCTTTCTGACATCAGTCTTCCCATGACTCTTAGTGTCTATAGATAGAAATATCAGCATAAATACTTTACTTGTAAATACTTCTAAACCCTGCTTGAGTGCTTTTATTAAAATCATGAAAAATTAGTAATACTATAAATTGTACTTTGTGTGTACTTTGTATTTTATGCTTTTGTATTCTTTGTTCAACTATCATTAGTTTGCACAAGTTAGTAATTAGTGTTCCAGTGAAAGAAGTATAATTCTATTGTTTTCTATTGTTCAGTTCTCACTATTTAGCAGTAAATAGTGCAAAGTGTTGCACACGTTTAGTGTTTGTACTCTGTTATCATTTTCAATGTAATTTTGTGTAATTTCATACAAAGCATTTTATTGATATATCTCTATTTTAAGGTGGCCAAAGTTATGTATATGTAATAGGACACCATATCATACAGTCCAGTTAAGGAATAATTGTATGAGGAAAATTCTGAGGACTGCCAAACTTGCCAACAATTGTCTAATTATTTCCTAATTGGATAGAATGGAGTTCTATTACCTATTAATCATAATATATCCACATATTATTCTTTTAAAAGTGTCCAAATTAAAAATAATAATAATTGGACAGGTACCTATTCACGATTAATAAACTGTTGAAATATAATTAAAAAACAAAAGACATTACCTCATCTCTATGCCATCTGTTGGGGATGTCTGGTCTTATTTTCTCCAAAACCACTACTTTCTTCATATCATCAAAGCTAGGGTCATGAGGTACACGGTCAAAATAGGGGACTTCATAGTCTTCACACAGACCTGTTTCTAGGCATACAAAATGTGATTAGTCAAATAATAATGCTAGTATTCATAACATACTAATGTGAATACACTTATAGAATTACATTGTAGGTGGTAGAATGCAAACACTAAGGTACTGTTTTTTTTATCAGGAGAGGGGGGAGGGGAGGTTGGTGCTTTTTGAAACTTTCTTGAAAAAAAACAACAAAAAAACACATGACCCTCCCTAGTTGAATACAATTTTTTCAAATGGCCAACCACCTTGACCATGTCTTATTGGCACGRCCTGCACTTTCTTGATTCAAAACCACCAACCCCCTCCCAAAAAAATGAACAGTCCCTAAAAGCATGAAAAAGTACTAACAATAGATACTATAGTTTAAGACTGGACACTAGAATAGGAATTGGCATAATAAAGCACTATTCCATTTCTAAAGTTTTTCATGGTTTTAGTGTTTGCAATCGATGGATATCAAAAAAAAATCTGATGGAGTAGTTTTTTGACCAACACTAAAATAAGACAATGTTGAAGACAATGCTTTATACTAAGCCATTGCAATATTTTTTTTCTGGATTGTTTAGTGTGGGAATGAAGTTTTAACTTATACTATTACTTGCATACTGTCTATATTTGATAATATGAATAACAAAAACTGAGAAAACATCAAAGTACTGTGAATACTCACCATCAGTAATACATCGTCTTGCAATCTCCCATAGCACAAGGCCAAATGAATACATATCAGCCATTCTATAGGCATCAAAGCTCTTACTGTCCAGTGTATGAGAGAGTACCTCAGGGCTCATGTACCTCTTGGTCCCAACCCTTGTATCTGACTTGACATCAATTGACTTAGTCTCAGGTAAATACTTGACAGCAAGACCAAAGTCTGCTATACAACATGTCAAGTTGTCCTTTACAAGAATATTTTTACTTTTAATGTCTCGATGTGCAATCATAGGCTTGCCTTGTGTGCCTCGGATCTCAGCATGCAAGTGTGCAATACCTGCTGCTGCAGAGAACACCAGCTTGCACATGACTTTCTTATCTAGTTTATGGACTCTAAGGAAATCATACAGGGAGCCCAAGCTGTGATAATCTGTRATCAGATACATCTGTGTGACTTGACCACTGCCAATAATATCTGAAGCAACAAAGCCCAGGATGCTGTCATGTCGAAGAAGGACTGTCTGATATATCTCTGTTTCCCGCATCCATGAGGTTTCACAATGAGACAGGAATATCTTCACAGCAACGTCCTCACCATGCCATCTTGCTTTCCATACCTCACCATAGCGACCTTTTCCAACACTTTGGATCAGAGTTACTTGTTTGGCTATTGTCCTTTGCACCTGAAATTATTGATATATCAGATCTTTAATCAAAACCCTTCAAATCTTGTTCTTTGTTTGCTATGATTATTAAAAATAAAGACAAAAACAAAAAATCCAACCATTGGCTAAATCACATTGCAAATAAAAAAATGTCAACCAAATAACTGTGTCAACACAATATAAGCAGAAAGAGAAGCCAAGAACAAAAGGAAAGACATCAGAATTATTGTTTTTCTTTCAAATATATTTTTCCAGTAGAGRAGTTTGAGGAATAACTTTGAAGAACAGTTTTAGGAATACCAAATAAAGAAAACAATGTGAGCCACCTTGTACGCTTGCTGGCTCATTTTTCCAAATACTCCCCTTAACGCCAAGTTTCAACCCTCATCCCCAAGGGACCCATTTAACCCAGTTCCCCAAAAGAAGAAAGTCAAGCATGCTTCAATGTAAGTAGAGCAATCAACTAAGAACATACACTATTTAAGTTACAAAATAAACAATGAAAAAAAATTACTTTTGTCTTCTTCATCCATTTTAATCTAAATTCACCCTTACCCTACTTTGATCTCAAGTCTAATCAAAATRCAATTCCCTGGAGAAAGTCTTATGCATAATAAATTAATGTTTTCAAACTCACAAGAAGAGGAAGACCAGAGCCACTGCCAGAACTCTGATCAAAGAAATCTTTTAAAGTTTCACCAGAACTGATGAATGTACTGTGACGATCATAAGAAAAATGAGAGGGCAGCCGGCGTCTCATTTCTCTGAACCTGAAAATATGAAAACAATAATCAACTGGCACAAAAAATTACAGTGATATAGTGGACTTCATTAAACTTTACTATAAACTATACTAATATATACTTTTTTTGCACATTTTTTTCTTTTTCTTTTTGTTGCATTACATATTATTTCACTCTGATTACTATATTTTGTTTCACAGGTTACTGAGAACAACTCTATATGAGGTAAAAGAAGTACTAATACACCATAGACCTTTTCTTAAATACAAAATCATGGTGCATTGTGGTCCAGCTTCAGTACAAGCACTTAACAAAAGATGTTTCGAATCTAGACCACAATGCAATGGAAATTGCTATTGGGTAGTTCCAGAAAATATCCGTACCATACGAYGGGCGGCATTTCGGAAATCCAGAGGGGAGGGGGGGTCATCGATTTGGGAATTCCAAAGGGGAGGGGGGCTGAACGATTTCGGAAATCCAAAGGAGGGGGGAGGGGAATTATAGACATATTATGTCTTATAGAAAACGACCTTCAACACCTTCAATCGGGACTTACGTTGATCACGATTTACGAGTCGAAAAAATCACTAWAAAARCGTTTGAAAACCACGACAAAAACATCTAAAACTGTATATGAATTCAAAAYACGTAATTTGAAAGCAACGCAGCTTATTCTCGAGTCATTTTAACAAAGTTTAAAGCATCCGCGTGGGTCYGTGATCGCCGATTGTAARCAACATATGGTCAGCGGTTTCTTGACAGAAATTAATGGCGTCTCGGTCGTCTTGGTCGCAGATCACCATGCGTAGTWTWTTTTTTCTTGCGAGTCTCACTACTTTGAACACTTGTTAATAGAAATTAACTATACAARGTATAAGATAAGTAATTCCAACGGCAATGATTTTTGCGTGTTTTTAAGCACTTCCACGAATCTAGACGATGCATTGTTTTCGAACGATCTGACAGTTTTACGATTGCGTTCTCTAAAACAGTGCTTGTTTTGAAGAGAATATGTATTCTTATTCATTTCCAAGGGGGAAATTAATTTCCTAGGGGGGCAAAACACGATTTTGGAATTCCTAAGGGGAGGGGGGATACCCAATTTCGGAATTTCCCAAGGAGAGGGGGGGTCGAAAATCGATGCCGCCCGTCGTATGGYACGGATATTTTCTGGAACTACCCATTTCAAAAAAAGACCTATTTTCCTGAATGGAAAGTCTGAGATTGTACAAATTTTACTGGGAGAATAACAGAGTAAAACTCCATAAACTTTAGGAGTACATGTAACAAACAATGTTTGTCACTGGACAAAGCAATCCATAATCAATTCAAACAATCAGAGAGAAAACTTACCTTAGGTAAAGTACTACAAGAAAGACGACAAAAACAAAAGAACATGCTCCTGCTGTCACAAACAGAGAGAAATACTGCTTACTGACTAGTGTTTCTTGTTTCTTTTTTGCCTGAATACCTGGAATAACATTGAGCTATCTTTAGTATACTTACAACCTGTGTTATACAAGAGACTCATGGCCCATCCCCATGGAAACAAAAAGCCCATAAAGTAACCAAACTTCTTGTGCACCTTTTTTGCTCTATCTATCATTTTTGTTCAAGCATTCAGCAGGAAACAGTGATTACATTTATAAGACTTCTTGATGGTTAAACTTTGTGTTTGACCAATTAAATTAACAAGTTCTGGGCAGGAACCAATCAGATTTTGACATTAGAATGAGCATGAAAAAAWTATGTGAAGTGATTTTACTTGGGAAATTGAATGGTTTCCTGCTCATTTTACATGGGTTTTCCACCAAGTTTTCTTCGGTTGGTCCACATAAAATGGCAGTGCAGCTTAAAATCTTATGTCATAGATATGGTTGTGTAAAATGATAAATTGAACACCATAAAAAAGTATGTGAAATAACTTAGTAAGTTATTTCACATACTTTTTTTACGGTGTTAAATTTATCTTTTTACACAACTGTTTCTTTAGAAACACTGACGAAGCTCACACTAGTTTACTGCTAGTTCCCACCATTTTGTCATATATATGGGCTAGAAATAAAAACAGAAAGTATATCATGTACCTATAGTGGAGACAGTAGGCGGAGGAAACGTAGGTTCCAGTTCATAATTACATAAGTCAAACTCCTTGCAGCATAGAAGAGCCTTACTAGGAAGAACTCTACTAGGTGTGTTACACTGCATGTGAGATTGCTCTTCAGCAGCCAAGCAGCCATAGGTAATCAGCTCAAAGCCATCTCTTTCCTCTATCATCTTGAAACACTTGCCTGACGTGGTACATGTCTCATTGRTATTGTCAGCACAGGTGTGCTGAGTACATTTACATCGTAGACAAAATGTAACTGAAATAACAAAACAAAAATCAATTTATGAAGCCAACACAATTGTAATTACAACAAAGGAATCTACAGCTGATCTTGAAAATGTTGTACACCTACATGTAATAAAGCATTTACAATGTTCCAATTGTCAGCTGTCTTGATTTAATGCCCATATAAAAATATCTTGTCATTTTTCCACTAAGACACACCTGATATTCTACACCATTCTATATGAAGGACACCATTTTATATSAAGGGAAAGTGAATATTTTAAAGACACATGACAATTGGAACATTGAAAATATCTCAGTTGACAACATTTTGAAGATAATTGGCTGTATACCMACATATCAATAATAATAATATTTTTGTAGATTGTCTCAATACCACATATGAAGAGATAAGATTAAATAAAAACATAACATTTTCAGTTTAAAACAACACACGTTGGCTTCCATGAGGGCAAAAAAAAACAGCAAAAATAAATGACTGAAGATGGCTTTATGAAAGCCAAAACATGTTTTGTCTTAAGTTTATCCAAAATAAGATTTTTTGGCAACTGACAGCAAGGCAACACAATGCTTTTTCTCATAGCCTTCATATCTTTTTTAATTTCAGGTCAATTGAGAATTCATTAAAAAATCTATATTTTTCTTTGCCGTTTGTTCTCAACTCAGCATAATCAATAAATTTCATTGTATCATTTTTGATTCTACATTTATGAGGAACAAGAAGAAAATAAAATTTTCAAAATTTCATTTATCTTGAACTTGAAGTACCCTAAATACTGATTTTGAACAGTATGACTATTGAAATGTGCTAATAATCATTTCATTAACATTGGATTTCACTTTATCAATTATGCCATGTACATGCATTCTTGTGAATTCATTGTTCAACATATATTTGCTTAGAAATACCTATTTCAAAAAGGTTGTCAGATGAAATGCAAAAAAGGTTATGAATGGCAATTGTCAAACAGAGATTGCACAACCAAATGAGCCTTGGGTTTTCCTAATTGACAGCAAATAATAACTGATTTATACTGTAAGATAGTCTGTGGTAAACTTCAACTCCATTTAGTTTCCATTTTCATGGAAGGTGACCCCAACAAGCACAATTTTGTATGTTGAACACTGCAATYATATTCCCTTTCGGTCATGTAATCTCCTTTACAAAATCGCCATTCTTCCCAAATGCGTTTTTTGAAATAGGTGGATATGAAAACAGTTATTCTTAGTATCACATAGTCAAGTTGGACTGTCTTGGAGATGTAAAAGAAATTTGTCCTAGGGTTAGGGTTAATTTGCAAATTTGGATGGAAAGGTGCTCTTTGAGTGTATTTGCAGATACCCTGCTATCAGTGCTGAGTCTTTAAAACCTCTAAGAAAGAAGCTGAATTCTCTTTGTTTTGCCTTTTTCTAATGTTGTTGAGTCAAGATGGATGTCTACTGGTTTAGTAGTTGTTCATAATTTGCAAGTCTAAAGTCTAAAGAGCCTGATGATCAAYTAGCATTCTGTATAGTAAGTGCTAATGTTTGAAAAGAAAAAATACATCACAAATAAGCAAAACTCACTCTTCAATATTGATGCTCTATAAAGGGAGATATTGTAAGATTTGACATTGAGATTGATGGATGAAAAGGAATTGTGAATGGATACTTAATGTCACCCTATTTTCCATRTTGTATAACATATCTAAAACACAACTGCATTGAATTCCAGTGGACTGTGGCTCTTCAAAGATATAATTATTTGATGACCAAACTGATAGTCTAAATGTATGCTCAATTCTTGTTCATCTTTTTTTGCTGAAAATAGTTAAGAAAATGATATTGAAACACATTGCTAGAAACAGCTGTGAGGGCACAAAATGAATTATTACATGACTTCTGCAAAGTACCCCTTAGGGTTTTGCAGACTGTGCTAGCCAAGTTATTACAAGAGTTCCAATTGTCATAGTGCCTTGTGTGGGACCAGCTCGACAGTTAATGATCCAAACAATGATCCATACAACTTTGAAATCATGTGAAAGTTGCTTTTTGTGACGAGAGGCCTTCTGGGAAGGCTCTCGTCATAATGTCATCGTGTATGAGTGATGGAACCGTAACCATTCCACGTGACCGTCGTCAAGGAGATCTCTTGTGTCAGCGGTATCGAATTATATTACTGTAGCTTTTCTGACTCGACTCGATTTCGAAGTTTAGTTGTATAGTAAACTTCTTTTAAACAATGAATACAAACTCTTTTACGTGGCAAGAGCTAGGTACAACTTTTTATGCATTTGTAAGTTTGTTTTTTTCTAAAGAATATTTCTGAGATTTTTGGGCGCTTTACGCGGTTTGTTTGCCAACAAACGTCAGTCCTGACCGTATGGCGTTCTTCATCCCTCAGGGGAACGAATAAAACCGGCAATGGGGACCAAAACCTCCATTGGGAGACCAGATATGTGACTCAAACTCTGCTTCGGTAGACTCAAACTTTGTTCGGGAAACCAATTATCATAACAATGTAGATCAATGTAATTCTTTTTGCTGTTTTACTATCATATTCGATATCTACTTTACTAGACACATTGACACAATGTTGATATTAATCTCAAAGCTTTTTCATAAACCTAAAATATTATGTTTGTCAAATATTTTGGAAGAAAATTCCACAAAATTGTACTAATTTTAATTAGTAAAAATGCAAAAGAAAATTGTCAATTGTCAAATATACTTCAAAATTTTCAATGCACTCTACATAGGACAAATTGCAACCATACATGTGGCAAAGATAATAATGCATTTTTAAAAGTCTTATTCTCATGTTATATTCAATATACACATTCATTGTTTTGTTTAATTAGTTTCTCACTTTATAATGTTTTTTTTTATCATGATTCCAGTCCCTTAATACCAAACATTATACATAATCAATTTCCACATAAGCTGTGACACAATAGCAATCTTTTTATACAGTGAAAAAGTTCTCAACATTATTCCATGTAATAACATAATTAAAAATGCTGTAAAACTTGTAAAGTTTGGCTATGTTTAGTTGAGTTGATAGTGTTATAAATGTGTGCATGTTATAAAAATGCATTTTAATTTAATTTCATTTAAAAAAACTGACTTCATTGCTAAAATAATAAATTTCACTAGTATTTTACAGCATTTAAAAATAAATGTCTATCTATTCACTTCATAAATATTTATTATTAAGAGTGGTCCACCTAACTTTTCATAGTTTACAGCTACCACTACTATATCAATAACCTTTTTTTACTCTATCAGAGTACAATTCTTATCTACATTTTTAACACATTTCATTGGCTTATGTTTTTGGCCTGAGTCACATGCAGTCTTTGACTGCGTATTTTTAAAATTGGCACAAGAAAAAAAGAGAATTTTACAGACTAATATAACTAATGTACTTCTACTATTTTAAGATGAAGTCAATTGACATACATGTATTTGTTGGTTGAATCACAGTACATCTTTCTCACCTTATAGTGCTAGTAACTTTAAAGTTAAAGAAATATAATAAGAGACAAAGCCTGTTAGTAGCACATTAACATCTTTCCACATAAGAGAGCATATTCCTGTTATCTAATCTGAAATTCTAAATACCTTAACATGTGCAAATTAAGATAATTTTCCATTCTATAAAGATTTTTCTGGCTTCAGTACGATCATTAATGTTCAGATCTCTATGATTATCAAATTGCTAATTTTTCTATGAAAAACCATCCTGTTCCTCCCCATTGTGTATGCTATAATACTTCATTCTGAAATAAGCTTTAATAWTTTTTTTTTTCATCCGTAATATCATTTCGCTCTGTATTTTGTTTCAGAATAGTTTTTAAAAACCCTTGAAATAAAGTTTAGGGTGTAAGAAATCATAATAGTCACAAAAGCAATGCAATCAAGTCAGAGCTACAAATATGCCTTAGACCCTAGGTTTATGTGGTGTAAAGCCTATTTCATCAAATACAACAGTATTATCCCTGATCTAATTCTTACAGCTGTACAGAAATACAGTGAGGTGGAATTTCCTATTAATATCACATCTACAGAAAATACTATCCTAATGCAAATAAACCTTACATGTACTGTTATCACCAAATCAYATTAAGTTCATGTTTATTCGGTGGTCAATGTTAATGAAGTCTGTACATTCGAAAACACGATGAGTCTGTATAATATTGACAAGTAGTTTTTGTGTTGCACAGCAACAAAAAGCTTTCAAACTTATTGTACGATCAATAGTTCCGTAAAAATCTGCTTTAAGATATAATAGAAAAGTAAAATACAATGTACAGGTTTAGTGGCTAACCAAATTCACGTCAATGCGATTCACAATGTACGGACCATGTAAAAGTTTGATATCTATAAGGAGCTTTAGAATACTTAGATCTTGTTGGTTTTCTACGTCTACAATGTTACTACAAGTTAAGCTTTTGTGTTGGTTTAATAAATGTACATCTAGCATCCATTCTCCTCCAATAACGCGATAAATGCAGGAAAAATCAAAAGTTTGACAGAAAGATAATTCGTACGTGGGTAAATAATTACAGTAGAGACTTGGTGGCATCTCACAGTGAAACGGTGTGTGAACTTCGAAATAACTCATGGTGAAATTATTTTCTTAAAAATTTCGGTAAAACTCAATTTTCAAAATAAAAATTAAATAATTCCGCTATGTTAAGTAATTAAGTTCCAAAGAAGCCGCATAATCAAAGAATCGAAGAATATAGCATGCACAACAACAACAATATCGATGCAACATGCAACAATAAGTAAGCTTTTTCGCTACACCATGCTAGCTGCTTCAATTCCATGCTATATCGAGTTCTTATACGAATACTTTAATAACAATTAACGTCCTTCAATGCTATTTTCTGGCAAAAAACTGCAAAGGTTTTGCGGATTTCTTTCAACTAGTAACCGATGCAGGAGACAAAGCTTGTGAGTGCTTTTAGATGAGTATGACATGTACTAAAATAACCCATAAAAATTAGAAACAAACCAAGGCCAGCCAATAAATATCCACGTCCTCACRTTCTTACACTATATCTTAACAGTAAATATGGCGATTACTTGAGGCATCGTGGCGTCCATACACCCATGGAGCGAGTTCATGTCGCCCTAAGCATTCCTCTGTGGCGCCATCTTGGTCTGCCTCATTGAGTCAGTACTAACGCTCACATCTATGCCTTCACACCTTTAGTGYAACATTCAATCAAAAATTAATATAATCCTATCACCCTTACCTTGTAATAAACTAATGAATGTACAGAAAGTTAAACTTAAAGCTCGAAAATTCCACATATTTTAGTCCCAAATCGCCACAGATTGYAGTCGTCCATTTGACTCGTGTTTATTCGGCTTGTGACGTTGCGTGCCGTATTTGGCAAACGCCACTCAAAAAACTCATATCAGACATCAGACAACGCGCTAGGACAAAAGGCACAAAAAATTTGCAAAATACGATTTTTTAATATTTGCCCCGAGCAACTAGCTGTATATTAAGCTTGATTGAAGAAACCTTGAATTCAATCTCTTGAAACTTCCCATTGTTCTGAATAAAACATATTTATCGAAAATGTAATATTTTTGCGGTGATTTTTAATTTCCTAATAAGAGCACATTAGAATAGATCTATAAGAATACATCAGTTTATTATGAAATTGCCACAAAAACGAGAATGAAAATATCGAGGAAATGAATGCATAAAAGAATAAAAACTAGATAAATAAGCAAATGAATGCGAATGCCAAAACAGACAAAGTGACCAATAAAATAATCGATTAATTTTGATTTTAATTTTTATTAGGTTTCATTTAAAAAAGAAAAGAAAAAGAAAAAGAAAGCTGGGACCGTTAATATGATAAAAAGGAAAGAAAATTGAAGTGGTACGAGTAGGAGTGGGTTCGGTACGCCGATGCATCTTGGGAAATTTCTTCACAGCTTCACGTGCACGTCTCTGCCATCTTGGACTAGTAGACTTCGCGGGTGCAAATACTAATAATATGTTGGGTGATGTCGTCCTTGAAACACACAAATGCATTAGTAATGAAGAAATAAGGCAACAAGAATCAAGGTAAGAAAACACTTAACAATGGCTACTTTATGTCGAGCGCAGCGAGTCTTTTTCTTGCTCTCGAGTACAGTGTGTTGCCCAGTATCGTGCCATTTCAATTTGTAATCGCTATGGCGTTTGAATACTGACGTCAATTGTTTAAATTTTCTCCCTCAATAAAGCAAATTTATTTGTTAATACACTGATAAAATTATTTTATCGAAAACCTTTAATTACTGTTAGAATTAACCTTTTTTCCGAGACGACTTGAGTGCCCGGTTTCGTGCACTAAGGGCCATTCCATTTTATATCCACACCCCCCCTATATATGGTTTTTTGGCTAGGTTGAACCCTTAAGAAAATTACTAAAATATATCAATACCCTTCAGAAAAAATCCAATTTTTCAAACCACCCCTCAGAAATTATAAACTTTCTTATAAATTAATTTTSTTATAAATAAATATAATATTCTTATRTATGGCAACCTTAAAGAAAAATTTTTAACAAATSTCCAGAAAAATTACCCTGCTGTTGTGAGTACTGGCCTTTTACAAGAAACAGTTTTATATATTTAAAGAAACCCCTCAGAAAATTTGACATTTGTTTTTTGAAACCCTTCAGAAAAATGTTTATTTCACAGATTAAATGACTTAATTTCTTATGTTTGTACACTATACATATATGTACACTTTTGGTGTTTCTTCCCTATACTAATACATATTATACATTCTTTAATTTCTATATATATCTTTACTATTAATTACATATTTTGCAGAACCAAAATCAACTTTCATTCAGTAAAATAACTTAATTTTGGCTTCCAAAATACTGTTTGCATCATCTACAACCATGCTATTTTGAATTTCAATCCACGATTTGGTGTTCGGCATTCAATTATTATTATAAATGGCTTTTATAAACATGATTATTATTGTGTTGCATAATAATAATACCAAACAATTCAAATAGCTCAAATAATTTTATAGACAAAAATTTATATCCATGAGACAAGTTGTTTCTTATTAAYACTGAAAAGTGTTTTTTTTAATCTAGAAAGCAAATAGCATATATAGCATAAAATACCACTACCTAGTGATATTTGTCTCATGCTCTTAAAAGTGCTCGCACTTAAGCTGTGCAACTGTACAAAGTAAGTACTTAGATATTTGTACTAAAAGTGGACCTGAAGCAAGATAGTATTGGATGAATTTTTGGACTTTGTTTGTACTGTTGCAAGATTGAAGTGTGATCATGACTATATTTTTTTACTCTAGCTGACTTAAAATATTGAAGTAGTGTTTTCTAAAAACCTGCAACCACAAACAAAAGGAAAGCAATGTCGGATGCATAATTTCTGCAGGAGTAATCACAGGTGTAGGAAAACTACTCAATAATTTTATAACTACTCAAGTTTTGTTGATTTACAAATATGAATGATTTAATTAATTTTTTGTAGATTGCTCTCTGACCTGCGTATTTTGTAATCTTCCTTGACGTCGTACAAATGCACTGTGTTGTTGTGTATATCATTGGTTATATGGCATTTAATACAGTAGTTTTCACGATTTTTACAGTTTAAACATATGTTGGTATTTCAGCTTTCCCTTCATTAATGAAAGAAGGACATCATGATGACGTAATTTAATGTACTCACAGATTCGTCGATTATATTTCAGCTCAATCAGACTTCATAGTCTTTTCATTGCACCTGCCATCCAACTGTTTCCAAAGATTCACCTTTTTGTTGTAGATTGCTCTCTTTTGTTTTGTAATCTCTTTGCCACAATATACTGTGTAGTCTGCGATGTATTCGTTGATTATATGTTATAGTTTCTTGTATTCTTTTTGGCAATTTTGGACATGACATGATCACAGCAATCAGCTGCAGGTACTTCAGTAATAATTGAGACAGCTAATAATTATATAATTTTTGAGGTGAATCATCATTAAGGTTACTTTGATTTTTCTTCATAAATGTACAGTTTAAACAGATGTTAGTTTTTTCAGCTTTCCCTTCATTAATGATGGAAGAACATCAATGGCATAAATGGACTCAGACTCATCATCGTATATTATTTCTGCTTCATCATTGTCATAGTCATATGACTGAACCTCTGCCTCATACCAACCAGGGGACCACCCGCTGTCTCCAATGTCTTCTTTATCCCACATTACCTTTACTCTTGCACCCACTTCAATAATTTCCTGGTACTCCCTGATGTTGCTCCCTTTGGTCCTCGGACGTTTTATCTTTCCATCCAACTCATCAAGTCTGTATTCATATGGAGTAGCTTCTGGCTCAGCATCAAATCGAACAGAGATAGTGTTGTTCTCCATATCAAAACTTGTAACAGTACCTACATACCAGCCAACTTTCCATCCTGAATTGACAAGTTCTTTTTTCTCCSACAATATAGAAACTTTGGAACCTACAGTTGTGTAGTCACTTGCATTTCTACACTCATTGGAGTCTTGCAAGTAAGTTGTTTTTTGTTGTTGACATGATTAAATTTAATTCTTGTTCCAATGCATTGAATAGATTTTCTAGATTCTCAAATGTTGTGTCAAATGGAAAAGGTATACTAGAGAATTCAMGTGTGATCGAGGACGCAGAATCCCTTGGCCTTTCTGAGCTTATTGATCTGTGTTGTTTACTTGAGTGGAGTCGTTTTTTTTGACAGATGTTAGGGTCRCAGATGTAATTTTTCTTCTGTTGTACAATCACATTTCTTGCTACTGTAATTACGTTCAATAGACCATTGAGCTCTTTCACAAATGCCAGATCCTCTCTTTTAGACTTGACCATGCCAACTCTAAGSACCAGTTCATCTTTGACTCCACATGTAAGCATTCCATGGAATTTCAAAATGTCCTTTAGTTGGAATATGGACAATTTATTAATTTCTTTAATACTTTCGGGAATGCTGTTCATATCACCACCATATCTGTTCAGATCAGGAGGCTGCTCGAGATCCAGTGATTTGACTATGGCCTCGACATAAACGTACTTTCTTCCTTCACAGGTCAGTTTGTGTTTCTTTGCCATACTTTCTAGCTCTGTCTTCGAATGCTCTTTGTAAATTTTATGCTGAGACCAGTACTCTTTCTTTCTGTCACATTCAAAGGACTCCTCTTCTTGTCGTAGCCTTTCCACAAAAAACTGCTTGATGTCTTTCACAGGACACCATGATAGTAGAGCTAAATATTGAGCTGTGTTGTCATTCAATTCATGAGGATAGAGAACTTTGAAAGCTAGGTCAAGTATAGCAGATGGTAGGAACATCATTGGTGTTGCTTCAATAGCAGCCACATTTAGATTTTGAATTTTTTCTAATGGCATGTAGTGCAATTCACCATTGGTATCATACCATCTGATGAAATCAGGAATGGGCTGAAATTCAAACTCAGGATCACCTTCTTTACTGACATCTGGGTTGTAGATGACTCGTGAATACTTGTCATTCCAGCAGGTTCGCTTGCCCTCACAGTCGTAAGTATTAGTTAATATTTGGTAGTCATCCCTGTAGCTGCCTTTAAAATTGAAGTCCAAGTTCCATATAGTTGATATATCCTGCCAGACCTTTGATGTAGAGCATGGTGCATACTCGCTATCATCTTCATCCTTTCTACTTTCATTTTTGCTTAGGAATGCTAATAGCCTTTCCTCATCTTGAAACACAAAGTCGCCTTCGTCCTTTGTTCCACGTATGACAACACAAGGGGCTCCGCCATACTTTGTGTTTCCAATACACTTCTGAACTTCCCCCGCCATATGTTCCATATTAGCTTTGTGTTTGCTGTCGCCATTGCTGTACTCAGAGTAAATTCCCCGGCTAGTGAAAATTTCATTTGAGAGGGCAGCATTGTGAACAGCGTGAACTCTTTCTACTGGGTTTCGTTTGCTATGGTATTCAGCAAAAGACTTTTGGCTGACAGATTTCAGACCTAGAATGCGTGCTAGTCTAACCAAACAGAGACCAACTAATGGACTTGTTGGGGCTTCAGCAGGACCATTGTCAACAATGAATACAAAATGCTCCTTGAGTCTTCCTGTTGTAGGGTTACGGAAAACGCCATCCAACGATGGATTTGACAGCAACAGAAACAGCTCGTTGAACACTCTGTGGACAGTTTGTGGCTCAAAGAACGTTAAATGGAGTGTTGTTGCAGAGATGCCAGTCCTTAGTACTGTGATGTGATCTTTGTGCGATTTTTCGACAGTTTTGATAAAAAGATGTGTCATTGGGGTAATTGTATTAAATGTTGATCTCTGCCAGTCATGATCGGGTAACTCTATCGTTTTCCATGTCTTTCCGGGTCTCTGGACTGGTGAAACATCAGATTGAATGACTGCCTTGGCATCTTTAGAGTCCACCATAAAATTATCTGGGTTTTTGTGGGCCACATCCAATGTCAAATTGACATTGTGGGTTGACCAATGAAGATTGACAACAAACTTTTCTACCCCAGTTCTTGGTGGCTTGTGGAGAGATACACATGCATTTATTCCACGACCAGCATGATGGCGTTTTGCCTGGTATGTACCTTGCTTGAAGTTTTGCGTGTAATTGAAGCAAGATGACAGGGAAATTGAGAAATTTTCTGGAGCAAGTGCCAAGATTGTCTCCCTTGCTTGTCGCATGATGGTGTTATTGTCACATGCTCTGTAGAGTACTGCATCAGTCAACCTTGGATGACTCTCCAAACCTCCCCCACCACGTTCAACTCGGTCTGCATCACCAAACGCAAATTCTAGTATTCCTGCGAGGTCTGGAAAATCTTCGATTTTCAACTTCCTTCCCCTTCCTTTGTAGATGTGCCTCAGGTTCTCAATTTTCTTTTTTGTTAATAATCTATTTATTTTTTGACGCCGTTTTTCTTTAGGAAGTTCAAGGAATTGATCTCTGTCGATTTCTCTTTTCATGTCCTCAAATTTAATCAGATTTGAAAACACCAGATCCCTTGACCTTGCTGCATATCGTTTGTCTTGAAGATTAGCTAAATTGGTGACTGCTTTAACACTGGAAATTTTGGTAAGAAGGGCTGTCACACAGTCTCTGTCTCTTTTGCTGTCCAGGTATCTTTTCAGTGAAGAGTAGGAATCTCCGACT